AATAAATAAATAAATAAATAAATAAATAAATAAATAAATAAATAAATCATATTTATGTTTAACTAAGATACAGAATTATTTTTAATTTATGTATATGTGTCTGTGTGTGAATACCCCCAGGTGAGTGCAGGTACGGGGGGGGGGGTGTCAGAGGGCATTGGGCCCCTAGAGCTGCAATTACAGGTGATTGTGAGCCTTTGGCATGAATGCTGGGATCTGAACTCAGGTCCTCTCAAGAGCAGCAAGTGCTCTTTACAACTGAACCGTCTCTCCAGTCCCTAGAATTATCTTTAAAGACTAATCATAAATCAGCAACAAGATAAAATAATTGAAAAATGTACTAGATTGCCAACAAAAGTTACTTTGGGTGGTTGGTTACTGGTAATTTTTTCTTCTTTGATTTACATTACAAATTTCTGTGAGTGAGCACTTCCGTCTGTTATCATCAGCGAGGTAGACTGTGTGAAGAATCACGTAGGTGCCCGTGGCTCCTCACACTCTCCCTGTCTTTATGTTTAGCACAGAAGCTTTTCTTGCCACGGCAGATGCTTACGAACAACATGTGTCTTTTAATGTCCCGCAGGAAACATGACTGTGCCATAAAACCAAAAGTGCCTGACTAATTTTTGGTCTATCTCTGATTCTTGTAGTCCTCAGAGAATATCCCACCAGGCTATGAAGTGGTGTCTCTCCTGGAGGCCCTCAATGGGCCCCTCACCTCGTCCCCAGCAGTACCTCCCCTTCACGTTCTTGGAGATGGCCACCTCTCAGGAATGCTACCGTCCTATGGCAGTGATGGCCACCTGCCCCCTGTTAGGACACTGTCCCCCCTTGACCGCCTGTCTGACTGCAACAGCCAAGGACTCAAACTCAAAAAAAGTGTCTCCAAGTAAGTGGTTGATGCCCGCCCGTGTCACCCAGGGCCGTCTCTGAGAGCTTTCAAGTCTTTCCCTCCTCGACACTGTGACAGTCACATCCTAGGTAGAAACCTCCACAGCGCTGCTCGCTCTCACAGAAGACTGAGCGGCAGCCTTGCAGTGGTGAGGGAAGGGCAGTTTCCCCCAGAGACGGAAGTAGAATGTGCATGGGCACTTAGGAGCATGGGCTCTCGGCAGGCATGGGTGCTGGTGAGGAGAGTAAGGAAAGGAAAGAGGACACTGAACAGTGTAGACAGGATCCCTTGGGGCCCTGGCTCTGCATCCCAGCATCTAAATCCATAGGACACAATCATAACACTCTCTGTGGCAAAAGAGGGTACCTCACAGATCGAGGGATTGAGATGCAGGTGAGGGTTGGGGGCTAGTGTTTTAAGTTTAGATGCTAGAAGCAGAGTCTCTACCCTGCTGCAATAAACCTGTCCCGTCCTGCTCCTGAGAGCGGGCCTGGCTTCTCTAGTCCTCCTTGCTCTGAGGAAGGAGAGGAAGGGAAGAGCTGTATTCAGCTGCTTTTCTTCTGGGCTTTTACAGATCCATTTCCCAGAATTCTTCTGTGCTTCACGAAGAGGAAGATGAGCGCTCTTGCAGCGAGTCAGACACTCAGCTCTCTCAGAGGCTGTCAGTCCAGCATCCTGAAGAGGTAACTGGCTTTCTTCTCCCTCCCTGTGTACTGGCACCAGGCATCTGCCCGCATGGTTCCTTGGTCCCTGATTTTTATCTGCTCAGGACCTTCCAGTGCCTTACAAGATGGTGGCTGCACAGGTTTTCTGAGGTCCAGGAGTTCTCCACCTTGTATGTCCCTCACACAGACCTTACCTCGAGTGTACTGTCCAAAGCAACAAGCTAGGAGCAGAGGGCATTCAGAGACAGGGCAGTGCTCCATCCTTGGGGGCTCATGGCTAATTGGGATAGCGTTTGTACTCAACCACCTGCACTGTATGTGGCTTACGGTTGCTGCCCGTGGGTACTTCTCAGATGAACGTGTGGGGGGTTTGAGATGGTGTCTTATGTAGCTCAGACTTGCCGTGAACTAACTGTATCACTGAACTGTAACTATGTAGACCCTCCTGCTCACCTGCCAAGTGCTTGTAGTATTACAGCTGCTTATAGTTCCAGCTCTAGAGACTAAAGCAAGGGGGTCATAAGTTTGAGGTCAGCCTATGCTACATATAAAGTTCAGTTCCAGCCAGTTATTGAGGCTATCTCAAGAGAGAGGAGTCAGACAGTGTACTCAGAAGAAACTGTGAAGTGTCATAGTATGGTCCTTTAGTGGAGGACATCAGAAAAACTGTTGTGGAGGGAGTCACATTTGGCTGGACCTTGAAAGTTCCTAGATGTGAAAGGCAGAGAGGCATCAAGGGAAAGCTTGCAGCAGGCCGCTGGATACAGCGATAGTTCTGCCCTGTCCCTGACAGTCACGGCTGGGTCAGTGGAACCAGCAAGAGCCTCAGTAGCACAGGCTTGACCTAAGATGAGAGAGGCCTCCCTGGGAGCTGGAGAGCCGCTCTTGCCCCTTTGCAGGGACCCCAGATGACAAGGCAGTGTCCAGGGTACTGGCGGGTGGAGGGCAGAGGTGGCATTTGTCTCAGATCCACAGAGCAGCAACTCCGGACAGCCATATGGAGGAGTCTTGTGAGCAGGGAGGGCCCTGTGGGTTTTGTGTTCTTTCCCTTCTAAAGGAAAGCTGTTCATAATCCCGGGGAAACCAGGGATATCCCTCTGTGACAGCTGCTGGGTGACCTGTGTCACTGGAGCTGCTGCCTTTGTGTGCCCAGCAGATGCTGGGCCTCAGGCAGGAGGTGCTGACTGAAGTGTGCACTCCCCTGGGACAAAGTCACTCCAGGCCTTGGCTGAAAAGGAGTGCTGACAGAAGGCAGCACCGCCTATCTCTCTGGTCACCCATGCCCACAAGAGGACCTTATTCTTCCTCAGCCCTGCTCTTCCCCTTCTGCCGGTATGCAGGGCTTGTGCTGGTTTCACGTTCCAATGTGTCCTTCACCCTCAGGGACCCGATGTGACTCCAGAGAGTGAGAACCTCACCCTGTCCTCCTCAGGGGCTGTTGACCAGTCATCTTGCACGGGGACCCCGCTCTCTTCTACCATCTCCTCCCCAGAAGGTACCTAAGGGACCAGGGTGTGACTGCCTGCACCTCCCTCACCTGGTCCACGGCTATGCCGGGACTGCCTCTAGGGATAGGAGCAGTGAGCTGGTGACTAAACAGGTCCACACTGGAGAAGGGAGGCCTCTTATCCACCCTCTCCCATGATGTCCTTCCCTCTGTTCCGGGGCAGCAGGAACACGCCCTCGGCCTTGAGTTTCAGAGCAGAATCTGGGAACACCTTCAGTCTAACTAAACCTTTCTCAGCACAGGGCAAATGGAGGCGTCTGTATGCCTTTCTTCATGGTCTAGTGTAGGAAGTGCATACTACTCTTCAGTAGTCATGGTCCTGTCCCCTGCCCTAACTTCTGTGTCCACAGACCCAGCCAGCAGCAGCCTGGCCCAGTCAGTCATGTCCATGGCTTCCTCCCAGATCAGCACTGACACCGTGTCCTCCATGTCTGGCTCCTACATCGCGCCTGGCACAGAAGAAGAAGAAGAAGGAGAAGGAGAGGCCTTGCCTTCCCCCCGAGCTGCTAGCAGGGCCCCTTCAGAAGGAGAGGTAAGGGAAGAGCCCTTGATCTGCCTTGCTCTCTGCTTCACACATGGGGGCCAGGCAGCTATGTAAAGGCCGTGTGCTGGCAGGAACGCTCAGGGAGGATGGCAGGCGCCCCCTTAGATCTGGTTCTGTACTGAGGAAAGCTGTGGGCTTGGCTTTGCTGCCATAATAGCTTAACTGGAGAGCCTGTGCTGACCATACCCTGGGGGGTTGTTGCTCTTTTACAGGAGACGCCAGCAGAGTCCCCAGATAGCAATTTTGCTGGCCTTCCAGCTGGAGAGCAGGATGCAGAGGTAACCTAAACGCCAGGCTCCTTCCCACAGCCAGGTTCTCTTCCTGTTGGTGCTAGCTGGGAACAACTGTGACAAAAACCACTGGAGAAGCCATCCTCATGTCATGTCTAGATTATTTAGGAGTGTGACAGTGGCCTCCACCTCTGGCCTCCTGCACCCTTCTGTCACCAGGGGACACCAGGTCCATGAGCCATAGGGAGTGACCTTCCCATGCCAGACCCTGACAGGCCTGGGGGATGTGCTGGTTGTCATGTAGTTAGGCCTGTTTACTGGGGCCCCTGGGTCTCAGGTACTCAGCAGTACCACACACAGATGTCTGCAATCTCCATGGCCCATCCAGGAGCCTTGTGCAGAGGCAGACAGGATCCCAGCGGTGGGTGGAGATGCCCCGGGTGTGCTGTACTCCATCCCTGTGTAGGCCAGCCTTTACTTTCCTTCTCAGAGGGCCTTCAGGATGTTTGGGTAGTAATTGACTGATAATTTCTGAAAGCTTTATGACCTGTGACTTTCTTGTATATCTTGTCTCATTTGCTGGTTTGAAACAGGGCTTACCTATGTACACTCCCTAAGTGTTCAGGCTGGCCTAGAATCGCTATAGTAGACCAAGCTAGGTTTTACTTCAGGTGACCTCCCTGCCTCTGTCTCCCAAGTTCTGAAATTATGAGCATATTCCCACAGCTGGCTTTTATTTGCTCTTTACCTTACTATACTTGAGTGTAAGCGTATTCCTTACAGCTCGTCCTAAGCATAGACCTGCAGGTGATCAAGCACCCCTGGCCATGGTGGGAAGGAAGTGTGTGCTGTGGAGATACACCACGGAAATCATAGCTGCCGGGGTGATGTGTCCTGTGTGTGCTTCGTGCCTCTGACTCTACGGTAGACTCATGGGGCTTTTCTTGTGTCCTAGGGAAATGATATCATAGAGGAAGAGGACAGATCACCTGTGCAAGAAGACGGTAAAAGATCGGGGCCTTGCTCTGGCTCATGTTTCCTTCCTGGGTACTGCTAAGGGGAGAAAGGGAAATGACTGTGACTTAGTGGCAGTGCTTGGCCGTGGGGGATGGTATCTCGATGGCATGTCAGGCAAATCGGATATCAGTGACCTTAGTGACATTCTCAGCTCCTCCTGAGGCTCAGACTCCACTGGATGAGTGGTGGCAGATGAGGCTGCAGAGGACACTATGTCCCTTGTACCCACAGTGCCGCCTGTGGCAGCTTTCTAGCTGAGCCTTTGGGCTGCCCTAACCCCAAGTAGGGAGTGGACTCTTCCCCACGAGAGGCAGGACTCTGGTAGCTTGTCTGGTTGGCCTTAGTGGAGATCGCAAGCAGCTCACATGTTGTGGGCTGAGGAAGCACCGCACCCCACAGGGCTTGCCTAGGCAGCACTGTAGAGGGTGGTTTGGTTTTCAGTTAGAAGAGGTTTGTCTCCAGTGAGCCTGGAAAAGAAGCATGCCCTGCTGGACATGGGAGGAGGCGGAAGAGGGTTAGAGAAGTCACTCCACCTGTCACAGACACCAGACTTTCTTTCCTCTCTGCCCCCGGACATATGTGTGGCACGCCTGCATCCAATTGCCCTGGATACAGTTGCTCCAGCAGAGGTCATCCTAGATACTCCTGCTTTAGCGCTGGCCATCGCTTCAGGGGTGTCAGGGGTGCATGTGGGCTTGACAGCTCCCAGTGACAAGAGCACATCTGCCCAGGGCTAGAAGCTTTATTGCCTCTGAAGATACTTCAGAGCCCAAAGCCCCACACCCTGAGCAGCTTTCCTGAAGAGCATTTTCTTCTAAGATGCATATGGCGGCCAGGGTGTTGGCACTGAACTCTTCATCGTCTCCATGGAGAGTTTCCCTCCTCTCCTTTCACTGAGAAAGAAAGGGAGAGCTTAAAAAAAAAAAAAAGTTCCCACAATTCTCCCTTGTCCTTTCGTATGACTGCAGGCTTCTGGACAGTTACTGAGAACATACAGGAACAACCTCGGTCTCCCGAGAGAGTGAAACATAATTTTGTGACCAGTCATTCTGATGCAGTGTGCAAAATTATGGAACCCAAAGCCATGACTTGTTGTTTCCTGTGTATGCTTCTGCAGACCCTTCGGTCATAAGCACACCTCACTCGTGCCTGGGAGTCACAGGCCTGAACAGAGTACCGTCTCCAGGCCTCAGGCCACAGTGTGGTCAGGCCAGCCTGAGTGCAGCTGCCCTCCTGACCTCAGGGATCAGACTCATTAAGGAACAACTAGAAAGGGGCCAACTAAGTAAATAAACCAGGGTGCCCGCGAGAACCCGACATGCCCACACTACTCAGTTCTTCTGTCCACTCTTTACTTGATTTTATCGTCTTTTTTTTTTTTTGACACATGATTTGATTTTTTTTTTTTTTTGTCTCCATCTTAAAACTTTCATTTTAAGGACAGCAAAGTAGAGAAAACCTAGCCAGCCCCTGTCTAACTACATTAACTCCGTTACAGGCCAGAGGACATGCGCATTTCTAGGCATGGAGTGTGACAATAACAATGACTTTGACGTCGCAAGCGTGAAAGCACTGGACAATAAGCTGTGCTCTGAGGTCTGCTTACCCGGTGAGTGGCAGTCTGCTGAACATGAACTTGGTGGGAGACACCCCTCCACCCTCCCCCTGCTCTCCCCGTGGAGGCCTTGAAAAAGAAGCCTGAGCTTTTAGAACTGAAAGCATAGCTCTTCAAAGGACATGTGTTCGAGGATCACAAGGAAATCTAAAAGCATCTTGTAGGTCAGTGAATGGCTTTCTGATCCAGTGAGCTTTAGGTCACCAGTGACCACACATGCAAGACCTGGATCCCAAAGGAGAAGGCAGAGACAGGGGTGACTCAGCTCTCTTAAGACCCCAGCTTCTCAGTGTGCCCTGTTTCTTTTTATGACCTCAAACAGAATCTGCAGAGCAGCCATGTTGATTGGACATTCAAATCCACACACGCTAGCACACGCCTGCAAACCCACACTTGGGAAATAGGGGCAGCCCCATGATGGCAAGCTGCTGGCCAGGGGCTACCTAACAAGACCTAGTCCCTCAAGAAATAATAAAATTAAGCTCGGTATGGTGGTGCAAGCCTCTAATCCCAGCACTGGGGAGGCAGAAGCAGGCGACCTCTGAATTTGATGCAGCCTGGTCTACAGACCAAGTTCCATAACAGCCAGAGCTACAAAGATAAACTGTCTTCAAAACCCCAAAATAAGTCACAGTTGAGCACTGACTTCAGTGTGCCCATTCAGCAGCAGCAAAGCCCACCAAGAGCCTTGCCTGGGATAGATGTCCCTTCACACTTAGCTGTATAATCCCCCAGTATCACCCAGTGTCCCCCACTGAAGAGCTGCTTCAGCTTCAGAACAGCCACTCCGGGGTCCAGTGCTTTACTCGCTCAGCGAAGTAGCTGAAGTGTTAAGCCACAGGGCCTTCTGTGGCTGCCACTCTCCTTCAGCCTGTGCCAGACATGGTCCCAGCAGGCCCTGGCCCCATGCAAGCCTGTGGCAAGGGAGGCCAGTTGCTCAGGAGAAACTTTCTCCAGCCTTTCCAAGGGCACCTCAGCCATTCTCTCTTTAGTTTGTCCTGAAGATACTGCCCAGGTCCCAGGCTTCCGAGTGACCTGAGAGACAGCATCAGATCACCTGCTTCTCCCGCACAGGCCCCAGGCACTCTCCCTTCCTGTCCGAGCATGGTGGAGGGTGTTGATCCGTATGGCCACCTCCTGCCCAGTTAAGGCTGGACTGGAGCTGCTGGAGACCAGGCACGCTCACCTCTGCCTTCCCGCTCCTGGCCTCGCTTCCATCCGTCTGTTTATGTTCCATGTCTTTATGCCAAATGTAGGTCTGTCTGTCTGGTTTGCTCATTTTTTAACTCATTTCTGTTCTCTGACTTGTGTGAAAGTTCATGTTCACTCTGTGCCAGCACTGTCGTCCTGCCTCTGCTCAGCCGACACCAAGCTTACTGCTGTGTGCACTTGAAGGGCTCTCGCTTAGGGCTCTAGACAAGCTTCCTAACTGGCAAGGGCCTATGCTCAATACACTGAGTTTTAAAGAAAAAAAAAAAAAACCTCTGAGAAGATATGTGTTTCTGTTTAACAAAAATAGACACGCTTCTGTGGCAAAGACTGTGGAATAGACATCTTTGGTTGGTCCTAGGGTGAAGGTGGTGGCTGTGCCTAGCCCTGCCTGTGTCTGTGGTGGCTTTCTGCCGGCCAGCCTTTCTTCAAGGACTTCTAGGCTGAGCCCCACTTTTGGCACAGGGAGTTGCTGCCACTGTTGGAGCCCACGGTGCCATGGAGACCAAGCTTGCTCTTGCTTCCTCCTCACCAAGCCTCCTTCCCAACAACCTGCTTGTCAGTGCGTCCTCACTTCCAGGGAGGAAGGCAGTGTGGACACAGCAGAGTCCAGGCAGGAAGCAAGCAGCACAGCTTCCTTATGGGAATGTCTAAAGTCGGCAGTTTTGAGGTTAACTGGAGCTCCCAGTTTAGCCAAACATGGAATCAGTCACCTGTGGCAGTGTCAGGAGAGGGACCCTGGTATAAACAGCTCTTACGTATATAGGAATTAAATATCTGTAGCAAAAGTCCAAGGGCTCTTATGGATTGGAGACTGTCCCCTCTGCTGCATCAGCTAGCACCACACCGGTAACAAAGGTGCCAAGGTACTCTGAGGTGTCTGTCTGTCTCCGGGGTCAAAGCCAGGAGAGTTGTCGTGTAGCTTCTCTGGACTAAGTTCACACTCCACCATGTGCTCACCTGACCCGGCCGTGAGAGCTGAGGGTATCTTGTGCCTCCATGTTCTGGAATGCTCGTGTCTCTCAAGAGGAGCACTTCCCACAGACCATGCCCCTGCTTGAGTCTGTTTCCCTCTTTAAATAGGTGCCACCCCCTTCATGGAGGACACGTGGAGAGCAGCCAGGGGAAGGCCACGAAGGGCAGAGGGTGCTTCCCTGGATAATGTGTGTCACACTCGGCCGAGGAAGCCATCATGACCCTCCTAATGCTTGTGAGGGCCTTGGAGAGGGCCTGTGTATTCCAGCTCCTCTCCCCCTAAGAAACTTCTAGAGCTTCAAAGGCCCAAGACCGAGGCCAGCTTTCTCGTTCCTTATAGCTAGAGCCAGTGGCCCATGGGTATAACCCAGCTTGGCAGGGGATGTGATAAGAGAACTGTGTGACCGTTCGGTCTGTGTGGCTTCCAAGAGTATTCCATGGCTGGCAGGAGAGGTGTGGGTAGTGAGCATGCTCAGAAGGCGCTGGGTAGGATATGTGATGGCCAAGGAAAAGTCAAGGGACTTTCAGTGAAAAAAATACATTGTTACGTGATTGAGTAACACAGGAGAAGACCTTTGCAGTAAAATCTAAACAAATAGAGACCTGAAGTGAAATCCACTCCTGTCTTCAAGCCTCATGATGTAGGATTAAGATGTGGTCATGTGGGGCTGGAGAGATGGCTCTGCAGTTAAGAGCACTGACTACTCTTCCAGAGCACCTGAGTTCAAATCCAAGCACCCATGGCAGCTCACAACTCTGTAACTCCAGTTCCAAGGGATTCAGTACCCTCACACAAGCACACCATACATTCAGGCAAAACACCAGTACACATAAAATAAAAATAAATCGTTTAAAAAAAAAACCCCGATGTGGTCATGCACCCCCTCCAGCACTCAGGAGACAGAGCCAGGCAGATTTTCTATGTGTCTGAGGCCAGCCTGGGTCTACATATCAAGTTCCAGGCCAACGAGGGCTACAAAGTGAGATCCTGTGCTTTTGTTTTCAGATGGGATGCTTGCAGTGCGCACACACTAAGGGAAATCTAAATTACAGGATAAGCATATTTTAACTACTAGAGACCTTAAGTTAATCAGCACATTAATAGAGACAGCAGAGAAGTCCCTAACTTGGTCTCTAGAGGTCTCTTCCCCTCATTTCTGATTCCCCAGAAGGGAACCAAATGTAAAGCACTTTGTCCCTTCCCTGGAGGGAATGAATTCAAATCTCCAAACTCCATTTTCTTGCCAGAAGGCCTGGATCCAGCCAGATGGGAGGGCACACTCTGATATCTGCCTGGGATCCAGGCTGTCTTCTGAGTGGGCTGTGGAGAGGCAAGCACATGAGGGCTGCCATGGATCCCGTGAGTCCCTCCAGGGCAAAGGACGTCTCTCGTTCTCTCGCCACGTCCCACACATGGCCCATATGCACCCCAGACTGTTCTACAAGCAATCTGCAGCCCTGACTGGGGCTCCTGGGTTGGAAGATGTTGCATAAGGACTTGTGTGAGTTTGGTCAGGACAGCATCAGGCCCCATGTCACGGATCCCGGCAGCAGTGACCATGGCGGCAGTGAAGTGGCCACTGCTGTTTGACTTGTGTGTGCATGTGTGTCTTCTCTCTCGTTTACCATCTGCTTTTGGTCTCTCCTACTGAACAGCCGCAGTTCCGGAGTCCTGCCCCATAAACATTGAGGAATAGGTATGACATCTACCAAATTATATAACCGAACAGACCACTCATTTTACCTGGGGTTCCTAACTAAACATCCGCTTTCCTGATCCTCTTCCTGTTCCCCAGAGTGCCACCTGTGGAAGGGAAGGAGGACCCTTGGCTCATCCTCAGGAGTGGAGAGCCTGTGGGCAGTTTAGGAGGTGAAAGACTCTGTTTCCTTCCTTTCCCGGGGCTTCACTGAGGACGATTACTATAGCCTCAGGATAGGTTCCCACACCACACCACTCATGCAAAATAATCAATCAGTACCTGCTTCATCCTAGCGTGTATGCCATTAAGGCCTTTCTTTATGTCTTAGGCTTGCTGAATCTGGGGCTGAGTTTAGCCATTTGTAAACTGGACTTAGGACTACACACTTTACAGATAGCTAGCCTCACTTACTAGAAAAGCCCCATCCCCCATCCCACTCCTAGGGCCACACACCTTTCTAGCTTCGGGGTGCAAACCTATATATAAATAGTTCCTGAAGAAGCTTGCCTAGCAGAGCCAACAAAATGAAGTACCTTCCCCGAACATCCCAAGCCTGGAAGGAGTAGGGCCTGTCATTGTATAAAACACAGTAGCTCTCCGGGAGAGAACAAAACAGAGCTAACTTGCCACCTAGAGAACAGCCAGAGGGACCTAGGGAACATGGGAGGGTCCCCCAACCAGGAACTGCTCATCTCTGAGTCTCTGAGCATCTCTGAGTCAGGTATGCTGCTGGGCATCCTTACATGCGGCCCCATGCAGGCCTCACAGAACATCTGTGAGTGCCACACTTGCCTCGCTGGCACTATGAGAAGGCCAAGACCCTAAGTCAGGTGACCTGCCCGAGATCAGACCGTTGGAATCTATAAGCTGAGATGAGGCCCAGGCAGATGCAGGTGTGGATGTAACTAGGAAAAGCAAACAAGGTATGTAGGTTATATCAGAGCATGAAACAGAGAAGCATCAGGGCTGAGTCTCCACTGTGGGCACAGAGGCAGCCAGGGGCTAGGAGAGGAAAGGGTGATAACCAGCATCGTGGACCGAAAGGTGCTCAGGCGAGGAAGAGGAGCAAGAGAAGGGCTCTGAAGATGCGCATTCTCCCACCCAAGGCCTCCCTTCCCTGGCCCCTGCTACGCTGCAGCCCCTTCCCTCCCCTGCAGACACAGGCTGTAGGTCAGAGTGTGCTCTCTGCACACTCACCTTCGATTCAGGAAGCAGCCCCGCCTCCTCACATTCACAAGTCCAGAACCAAGTCCAGAACATGCAAGATGGATGCTAGGTAAGTTCAAGAAGGAAGAGCACCTGCAGTGTCCCCATCTGTCCTTGGGTCACAGGCAGCAATTAGCTGGGGAGGGGCGGCCGCGGCCCATGTCAGTACCTGCTCCTCCTCTTCCTCGCACGAGTGGCTCACACTGCCAGGCATTTCAGGGTACACACATGCTGCTAGATTGCGTGTTGGCTCCTGTGCTGCTGCACTGGAGACACCATGTGTTCTTGGCCTAAGGAATGGCTCCCAGAACCTCTGTCGTTTCTTCTCCAGGTGTCTGGCAGCATGATGATAATATTGTCAACCGTCGCCATACCCAACGCCGGCGCTTGTCCTCCAGCAGCCTGGAGGATCCTGAGGAGAACAGACCTTGTGTATGGGATCCGATGGCTGTCTGAGGGCTCTGCACCTGTACCTGGGCTTCCCCCTCCTGTCCTTCCCTTCCGTCTGTCCTCACTTGGCCACAGGCCTTCTGAGCACCTTCAACAAGACGTGGACTTTCTACTCACATGAAGGGAGGACAGTGTGCACCTCCGCCCACCTCATCTCCTGTAACCGAGATTCTTACCCTCTCAGAAAGAAACCAGAAGCCTTCCTCCTGTGGGCTGATGCGTGCCAGCCAAACCCAGTGGGCCAGTTGAGCTGCGGGTCAGGGCTGGTTGTTTTGGTAGCCTTTTCTCTTCTGAGTGGAGCCCAAGAAGACTGAAGGGTTTGGCAGCTTTGTTAGACACCCGTGGACAGGTTTTGGTCTCCGGCACCTCATAAGCAATTAGAAACCTAACTTGAAACCGTCAAGAACTGGCTCCATGAGGGAGGCCATCCAGAGTCTGGCCTCCCAGAACACCAGGAGCTCCTTACCCGAGCCCGAGGGAGAGGGTAACTGCCGAAGTATTGGTTGGAAGGAAGCCAGAGCTACTGACAGAGTTGGTCTCCTGCACCTCCTGTATCTGCAGTTAGGAAGGTCCCCCTCGCAAGACCTGTCCTCGGGTGTAGCCAGGAAGGCCTGCTGGGCCACTTCCATGCAATGCTAGGGCTGGCTCTTCCCATATCTCCACTACAGCCACTGAGGGGGAGTCTCAAACCCAGCTAACCGCTTCTCTGCCCCCTTTGTAAGAGATGAAGACCTAGGCTAAGGTGAGGCCCGGTGGTTCTCAGACTGGTGCACAGGAACACCAAAGGCAGGGCAGAGGCTCTGGGGCCAGAGGATTAGAAGACCTCCCTACCCTAGTGTATTCCTCCCTGCCTTTCAGGTGGGATCCAGTCAGCACTCAGACAAAAGCCATGGCCGCAAGCTGGCAGGAGATTGTTGGGTGACACACCTTTCTTGCTCATTCAGTGGGTTTTACATGGCTCTGAAGTAGATGCCTGTCACTGGCTTTTGGCACAGGTGGTTGTTCAGTGGGACATGAGATGGCTTAGGGACAGTTACTTATGAGGATGAGGTACAAGGAGCTTTTGACTTGTAAGTGTGGTTCAAGAAAGGCTCTCCCCCTCCAACCCCCTCCCCCCAGTGCCGAGGACCCTGAGGGGAGGGAGGGGTGGAGAGGCTGGCCTCAAACTTGCTATGCAGCTGGGGATGACCTTGAACTTCTGATCTTCCTGCCTGGACTGCCCAAGCATTAGGATTACAGGCCTGTACCAGTACACAGCCCTCCCTTCGGTGGTAATCACACTGTCAGGGGGACTCCGCTGTGCTGCCTGAAGAGTGATAGGCTGAGCTTGAGATCCCGTATCGCCCTTTCTGAACACCCTGCCATTTCAAAGCCTACTTCGTGTCTTTTACTTCCCCAACATCCCGACAGCCCCTCTCATCCTTAAGATTTCCACCAGTATAAGCTGAGCAATAACCACACTTCCTCAAAGAACAGAACAGAAGCCACAAGGAAGTTCCCTTAGCCTGGGCCGGCTGCACATAGACCCACCTTGTCCCCTGGCAGGAGTAGGTAAGCAGTATTCACAGTGTGCTGTGACCTGGGAGGAGCAGGGGAAGAAGCTGGGATGAAGGAGATTCAGGTAAACAGTAGCCACAGTGGCCAGAAACCCTCAAAAAAAAGCCATTATAATCAGCCCTTCCCTCTTCCCTCACCAAGTGCTCAGTTAGCCTGAATCCAGGCGTCCAGGTTAGCGGCGTACCCTTTGCTCAGTTTGGCCCCTCACTCTGTCCTTTTACTTCGGGGGTGGCTCTGTCAGCTGCCACACTCAAGTCTATTTGGAAACAATCCTTTTGTCAGTTCCAAGCATAGGGTCGGGCACAGTCTCCTGGTGCCTTTGGCTCCTCACCACACTCCATCTGAAACCTTCCCGTGCTTGGTACTGGCCTCTGTCTCCTCAGAGAGCCTTTTTGCTTTACCTAACTTCATCCCACCAGAGTTCTTACCCCCTGTGGCATCTGCCAGGCACAAACCCAAACACTAAGCCATCTCACTGGGGAGCTAGTCCTGTCCACCTGGTGTTGGCGTGCTGGTTGCTCACGTTGTTTTAGGGCCTGCACACCTGGTGTGTGCAAGTGTGTGTGTGTGTGTGTGTGTGTGTGTGTGTGTGTGTGTGTGTGTGCTGTCTGTGCCATCTGTGTACCCCTCACACTCCCTGGAGTACACTTGTGGGCACATTACAGTGGGGACATCAAGATGCAATATTTATGGATTGCTGCATGATTCTTAAAAGTGAATAAAACTGTTTACAGGGGCAGGGGAGCTATTAACTACAACGTGAATTCATTTGTGAGCGTTTGTCTCAGTGGCTCAGGCGCTTTCTAGGATTTCTGCAGGTCTGGGTACAAAGGCCTCCCGCCCAGCTCCATTCCTGACCGAGCCCTACCTGCTTCTGCAGCAGCTTTAAACCTGATCACTTCCAATCCTGCAGCTCGTCAATAATTAAAGAACCCCAAAGCTGACGGCGGTAGGGAAGGCAAGGGCCCAGAGTCTCTTATGCTCATTCCTGTCACTTAACCAGTTCCTGTCTAAATTGGTAGAACAAATGACCTATTTGAGAGGATCTTGCAGGCCCATGGCTTTTCCGTTTTTACCCGCTGGCTCTGCTTCCTAGGCTGTCTGGAAGGAGAGGCACCTCTGCAGACGCCCCTGGAATGGCAGCTTCCAGGAACTTGAGCAGGGTGAGTGGGCGAGCTGCTTACCGGGAGACGCTGGGTTACCCTAACCGCCTCGGTGTGTCTGCGAGCCGTGTGGCCGTTTCTGCGGATTATAAGCGACAGGTGGCATCAGAGAGTCAGACTTGCCTGTGGGCACCAGAGAAGACACTCTGGGAGCAGGGAAAGGCCCCAGAAACCAGACAAAGGTCACTGGCAGCCCGGTGAGGGGAAAGACTTCAAGGGCACGGTTCCCCGAGACTTGGTCTGCAGAATCCGGGGCTGGGTCCCCTCAGCGGTCAAACTCGACGCGTGGGGGAGGGGTTCCCGGGGCCTCGAGCGGGAGCCGAGCGCCCGCCTTGAGACCCAGCGCGGGGCCCTCGGGCGGGAATGCACAGTGTCGGATCTCGGTGGCGGGTAGGGGGCTGGGTGGCGCGGGAGAGGGCGGCAGAACCAGAGAGTTCCAGAGAGTTGCCGCCAGAGGAGCTGCTAAGGCCCGCGGTCTCCTTGGAGACGTGCTGGCCAATGACAGCAGCGGAAGCTGTTTATGGGGGCGGAGCGTCGCCATGGCAGCAGGAGAAGCCTTCCGAGCGTCTACTTAATGCCGGTCCCCGGGCCGTCGGCGCTCAGAGAAGCGCCGTCGGGCGAGGGGGGGGCGCGACGAGGGGCGCCAGCAGAGCCCTCGAGCTGGGGACAGAGAGACGCGGGAGGTGGGAGGAACTTCTTCCAGAACCTTCCTCTGGCCGGCTGCGCTCTGAGCCAGGTAAGGGTGGGAGGGCTGTGGACCACGGGATGGGAGGGCGTCGGGATCTGCTGGCTATCCAGTCCATCGATCGCCCACGGAAGTAGTGGGGCTAGTAAATGAAATCTGAGGAGTTCGGGAGGTCGCTTCCTGCCCCTCCATAACTCGGTCCTGTTACTTTCCTTTCCCGGGACCCTTCATCCTAATACCTCTTTCCAAGGATCAAATGACCTACTTTGCCCCAGCCGCGTCGTACTGCCCCCCTGGACTATTGGGGTGTGATCTTAGTTCTCCAATCTTTGGGAAAAAGAGTTAGATTGGGCCTTTCTACCCGCTTCCCTCATTGTGGCCAACGAACCCTCCAAGGGCAGATGGAGACGCGGGGTCAGACCAGGGTCCTGTGTTTCCCTGACCTCGCCACAGGCCGCGGGGATGAATGTGAGGGGCCGCTTCCTAAGGCTACTCTTTCCTCTCGGGGTAGGGGAAGAGTGCTCTCAGTTCCGTGGTGCTCCCGCAGGCCCCACATTCGTGTTCGGAGGAGGCGACCCCCCGGGTCGCAGAATGGGAGTGAGTGTTCTGGAGACTGTGTAACTGGAGTCTGCGGTACCAGCGGGCCGGGGAGCGCGGCGGGCCACTCCGGCTCAGCCTGTGGATGTTGACCGCCCCTTCGGAGAGTCCCCGCAGACATGGCGGAGAGCTGGCTGCGCCTCTGCGGAGCGGGGCCCGGGGAGGAGGCCGGGCCGGAGGGCGGCATGGAGGAGCCGGACGCCCTGGATGACAGCCTGACCAGCCTGCAGTGGCTGCAGGAATTCTCCATTCTCAACGCCAAGGCCCCCACTCTTCCCCCGGGAGGCACAGACCCTCACGGTTACCACCAAGTGCCGGGCTTGGTGGCGCCCGGGTCACCGCTGGCGGCAGACCCTGCCTGCCTTGGGCAGCCGCACACACCCGGCAAGCCCACATCGTCCTGCACATCTCGAAGCGCGCCCCCGGGGCTGCAGGCCCCGCCCCCTGACGACGTGGACTATGCCACCAACCCACATGTGAAGCCGCCCTATTCGTATGCCACTCTCATCTGCATGGCCATGCAAGCCAGCAAGGCCACCAAGATCACTCTGTCGGCCATCTACAAGTGGATCACGGACAACTTTTGCTACTTCCGCCATGCAGACCCCACCTGGCAGGTATGGGAGAAGAGGAGCGTGGGGGGAGGGGGGTGGCCACTCCCTCCTCACGCCCTCCTTCTGGCACTTAGCCAGACTCACATACCAGATCTGCAAGGCCGAGGAGGCACCTGGCTCTGAGGTCAGGCCTCTCACGAGGCCTGAACCCTGCCAGGTTCTGGGAATGCTCCCTGTGTTTGGAACCAGGGCCCTGGAAGTACAGGGGACGTTCTAGGAGAAGAGGGACCATAAGGTCCAGTGTAGCCTTGTGTGGGACGTAAGGCTCAGGCACATTCTTGTCCCGTGTCCGAGAATTCCTAGACAATGCTCTGCCCAAGGAATTATTCAGAACCGGACTCTGAAATGGAACCCAGGTGGCCTCCCTGGCAGGTTTGCACCCTGCCTTTTGCACTTGGTGTAGAGAGTGAGGCAGAGACGTGTGCTCTATGGATACAAAGATCAGTTGTCCAGGGGACGGGTCATGAGGTCATCCTGAAGCCACTAACCCAGCCTCCTACCTCCACTCCTCCAGAGTTTCCTGCCTCCACCCCCACCTTCTCGGCCAGCCTCCCTAGGGGGGCAATTACCTGAGCCAGGTGCTTTCCACAGGGGCGCTGCCACCGCCGCTGCAGCCGTGGCTTTGGGTTCTAAGTCTCCAGAACCTGGCACAGAGCAGCCAGTGGGCCAGGCTGCCATGTAAACACCCCAGCCCTGTTGCCCAAAGGTGCGCCCACTGCCCACCCACCTGCCTTGCTAGCGTAGCCTGGGCCTCTGGACACCAGCGTGCTGTGAGCAGAACTAAGCGGCCAAGCACGGATAGAGCAAGATAAGGCCCAGTAGACAGCACTCTGAAGGTCCTCCAGTATCAAGCTCCATGTGGTAGAGACAAGGCCTGAGGCTGCCCACTCTTCCCTAAGGCTGCCAAGGGGCAGGGAACAGGATCACAGTCCTGAGCCATTCCTAATGGCCCTAACCCTGGGTCAGAAGATCCTTCTCCCTAAGCAAGGCCTTTGCCAACTCGGGTCGCAGAAATGAGCCTTCTGCACTTGGCTGGGTAATAGTCAACTGAGGTTTGGGTGGGAAAAGAAGATTGTAGGGGGTGAAGGCCTAGACCAGCAGCTGGCTCAACAAACAAGGAGTCACTAAATCTCCACACACACACACACACACACACACACACACGCACACACACACACACGCACACACTCTCTCCTTGGTCACCCAGCCCCCTCCCTTAACCCACCCACTTCACAAACAGAGGGAACCAGCCAAGCAGAGGGAGATGGCGGTCCAGGCCGTGGGGGAGCTGAGAGCTTTGGCCAGGACCTGCAAGCAACAGGGTAAGGGAGGGAGGGAGGATGACAGAGGGTGGCACTGAGAGCCACCCTGTGGCTCAGAGCTCGGATGACTGAGCAGGCAGATATCCCGGCAACAGAGAACAAAAGCCCCCCCCCCTCTCATGCACTCCAGGCTCCTCATACCCTGTGGCTGGTGTCCCAGAGTCCCCGAGCTACAGCTGCCTGGTCATGGCATCGGGTTGATCCGCCCCTCCCCCGTCCGGGAGGATGCAGGGAGGATGCAGGAGCACCCGGTGCCACTTCGCAGCCGCTCCCCTGACCTCTATGCCTTTGCTCTTGTTCTTTCTCCGTTATCCAGAATTCCATCCGCCACAACCTGTCCTTGAACAAGTGCTTCATCAAAGTGCCTCGAGAGAAGGATGAACCCGGCAAGGGGGGCTTCTGGCGCATCGACCCCCAGTACGCAGAGCGCCTGCTCAGTGGGGCCTTCAAGAAGCGGAGGCTGCCCCCAGTCCACATCCACCCTGCCTTCGCCCGCCAGGCCTCCCAGGAACCCAGCACTGCCCCCTGGGGTGGGCCTCTGACCGTGAACAGGGAGGCCCAGCAGCTGCTGCAAGAGTTTGAGGAGGCCACAGGGGAGGGGGGCTGGGGCACAGGAGAGGGCAGGCTGGGGCATAAGCGAAAGCAACCGCTGCCCAAGAGGGTGGCCAAGGTCCTGCGGTCTCCCAGCACCCTGCTGCTGACCCAGGAGGAGCAGGGTGAGCTGGAACCCCTCAAAGGTAACTTTGACTGGGAGGCCATCTTTGAGGCTGGCGCTCTGGGTGAGGAGCTGAGCTCCCTGGAGGGTCTGGAGCTAAGCCCCCCACTGAGCCCCAGCTCACATGCAGATGTCGATCTGACAGTCCATGGCAGACACATCAACTGCCCTGCTACCTGGGGACCTCCGGTGGAGCAGGCTGCTGACAGCCTAGACTTTGACGAGACCTTCCTGGCCACATCCTTCCTCCAGCATCCCTGGGATGAGAGTGGTAGTGGCTGCCTGCCCCCAGAACCCATCTTTGAAGCAGGAGATGCCACCCTGGCCGCTGACCTGCAGGACTGGGCCAGTGTGGGTGCCTTCTTGTAAAAGGTCAGGCCCCGCCCCATCTCTGGACAGTGCTCAAGTCAGGGCCCAGAACTGCCTCCCAAGACAGGCCCGTGGACATCTCAGCACCCAGGCAGGGACTGGGCCAGGTCTCTGAAGGCTGGCTTCATCAGGCCACACTGCTGCCAGCTGGGGATGTCCTCATATCCAAGCCCAGAAGACTGGGAACTAGGGACCCAGGATCAAAACGGCTGCCTCCCCGTCATCAGCAACCTTTATACACACAGTGTTTCATCCACCCATGTCCCCCCAAGTCCAAGAATTGGCAAAAGCACCCCCGC